CGACAACGTCGTCCGTTTGCTCCGATCCAACCCCACAACCCGACCCGAACTCCCTTCCTGTTCAGAAACGAAAGATTAAATTTACTGTATAACCCATCAAGTTTTGTGGTAATTTAATTTTTACCTTCTTGAGCTGTGTCGCAACGGCGTTGAGAAGAATGCCGCGGCCGCAGCCGAGGTCGAGGGCGTGCTTGACAGTTGACCAATCGGAGACGGCGTTAACCATACGGAGAGCCATTTCGTAGTGGAGAGGGAGGGAGGAGTAGAAGATGTTCGCGGCGGCGAAGAAGAGGCAGAAGGCGGAGATGGCAGTGACGCAGCCGGTGAATCCGACGGCGAAACGGGCGGAAGCGCCAGAGAACATAATCTCGAAGAAAGAACAGATGAATTCGAAGTAAGAAAGGTAAAAAAGGGAAAGCGCAGTAAAAAACACAGCATGAAGAAGAAGAAACACTATGGTCTGCCATTGATCTACTCCATAGATCGCATAGATCTGAGTCCAATCCCGGCCGGAACTGTTCATCGTTTTACCCATTTTTCCCCAATTTCAGCCCTAAAAAACCCAGAAAAACAGAATCAAACCGACCCAGAACAGGATTCAGAGATCTGAATCAAAACCCATTTCAGAATCCACAAAATGTTCATGAATCTCTCAGATCAGATCCATCGGAATGGGGGATTTGAAGAGCGCCATTTGAAATGGGTGGTTCAAATGAACATCGGAATCTGGAACAAAAAAGGAATAAACAATCAGGAAAAGGAAATTGACGCGGTTTTGTCAGATGGGTTTTGCTTTAAACAACAAATTGATTTGGGAATTTTGACGACGAAAAATTCTCACTCGCAGTTTGGGAGTGGGGATGAGTCTATAAAGGAAAAGGGGGGGAGGGGGGGAGTGGGGGTGACCGGTTCAGCCGGTGACTGGAATTTTTCGTACGAAAAGTCCAAGCACAAGAGGGGCCAATTTGAAAATTGGAAAAAATAATTATTAAAAAAATTTGGAAACATGGAAATTTTGTAATAAGTCAATTATTTTAAAATTTATAAACCAAATTAAATAATTAAATAAATAAAAATTAATTTTTTTTAAATGAGTTGATAAGATAATTAGGTGGGTTCATGTTGAAAATGTACTTTGATTCAAAATTTGTGGGGGGAATTAATTAATTTATTTATTATTATTATTCTAAATTTGCACCAAACAAAAGAAAGGAAATAAAACTATTATTTTTAAGGGGGAAAAAAAAGGCTAAACTATGGGTATTATTTTTTTAATCTTATTTTATAAAAGTTTTAGCGTTATTAATTGAGTATAATCAAAATACCTCAATGTTCATTTATTGCTAAATAAATATGAAAATTATTTAAGCAAAATATGATTTTTAAATTTAAAATTTTCGAACAACTCCAAATTTTTTGGACCCACTCGAAATTTTGAATTGGTTATGTTGGTGATTCGAACAACTCAGTAAAATTCACAACTCAACCCAACCCAACCGATTTTTGGGTCGAATTGGGTTGGGTTTTTTTTGTTTTTTTATACATAATTATTTCAAAAATTCTATTTATCCACTACAAATGTTACATTAATAACTAAAATCTCAGATATCAAACAGTAACAAGTCACAGTGACTCAGGACTATTGGTAACAAACGTCAAATATTCTTAATTTTCATAATAATCTTTAAAATAGAGTTAGGTTGTAACCCTATTTTTGTGTTGGTCGGATCGACTAAAAAAAATAGACACAAATTATAAATTTTCAAAAAATTCAATTCAACCTAAACGAAAAATAAAAATTTAACCCAACTCACAATGAATAAGTAATATTGGTCAGGTCAACCTATTTTTATTGGTTGAGTCGACTCAAAAAAAAATAGACGTAAATTTTAAAATTTCCAAAAATTCAATTAAAATAAAAATATGTTTTTCCTTAACTATTTAATAAAACCTTTATATCATTTCAAAATTTAAATAAATTTTCAATATTAAATACTAAAATAGACTTAAAAATTCTATATTTTTATTACTAAAAAAAAATATCGTTCTCTTTGTACTATGCTTTCATCTAATCCATGTCGTTAAATATCGTTCTCAAAGTGTTAGACGTGACGTGTTTATTAGCTTATTATAATTTTTTTTTTAATAATATTTAGATTGAACAAAAAGAATGGCCTTAAAAAAAAGATAGCGCAAATCATGGGGTGTGACCCATGTGAGGGACGTACAGTGGGTCCCATTAATTTAGATTTTTATTTTTTTATTATTTATTATTATTAAAAGCAAATTTAGATTTTGAAACTCAAAAATTAATTTCATTTTCATGCTTTGCCTAATTGCTCCCTTCCCATCACACTCTTAGTCAAATGTTTCTCTCTTTTTTTTTTTCTTTTTTAAGCAATGTGTTTTACTATTATGCCCCTAACTTTTGTTTACTTTAAAACGAGAAATTACGTAATGTTTTCGAGGGTATTTTTGTAATTTTATCATTCCACCGACTCAATCTACTCGAATTGTAGTTTTGAAAGTAAAGTTCATTGAAATTATACGTTTATTGAGAATTATTATGATTCATTATATTACAGCAACCATCTAATTTTCACACCATTGATTTGACTTTTTTTATATTCGTACGTTAAAAGATTAAAGTGGACTCGTTTGTCGGATGAGTCTGGTTAGAACATTCTTTAGATTTAACTCAATTACTACCGTGGTAAGATAAATTTTTACTTTTAATAAAAATAAAATATTAATTCTGAAAATATCTATTTATTTATTTTTAATTTGTAATTAAAATTTATCCTACCATTTCTATATAAAAGTTATTTTATAAATATGATTAAAATTTATTTTAAAAGTGGTGGAAGAATATATAATAAAAAAAATTAAGAAATTAAATAAATATAGGTATATATAATTGTATGGTAAGCAAAAATATATATTTTATAATTAATAATAAACCAATTCATAATATTTTTATCTATTTTAACTCAGATCGATCATTAAATTTATTTAAAAACTCTTAAAAGCGGAACATGTGCTACTTCTGCTTCAACGATTATAATGTTTTAACGATCATAATGTTTTATACCGAATCAACTTTTAAAAGTAAAAAAATTAAAATAAAAAAAAACTTTAAAAAAGTATTTATTATTCAATAATATTTTATTTAATAGTTAAAACTAATTTCCCAATTTGAAGAAGATTCCCTCTTTTCTAAAGGTAGATTGGTTAGAGCATGCCTATTTAATTTGTACCAAAATTAGAAGTAATTCAATAAATATTATTTTAAAAAATTATATTTATTCACGCTATATTAATAACTAAAATCTCATAAATTTCAAATATCAATCATTTACAAGTCACAACGCGAAGAACTTTACCGGGGCTTGACATGCCGCGAATCCTCTTGAAAGAGAAGGGTGTCTTTGGAAACGCGGACACAGGTGGTGCATGGTTGTCGTTAGCTCGTGCTGTAAGGTGTTGGGTTAAGTCTTGCAATGAGCGCAACCCTCGTGTTTAGTTGCCAACCGTTGAGGTTGGAACCCTGAGCAGATTGCCGGTGATAAGTCGGAGGAAGGTGAGGATGATGTCAAGTCATCATGCCCCTTATGTCCTGGACGACACATGTGCTACAATGGTCGGGACAAAGGGTCATGATCCCGCGAGGGTGAGCTAACTCCAAAAATCTGTCCTCAGTTTGGATTGTAGGCTGCAACTCGCCTGCACGAAACATCATTAACATTGGTTAAAAATATTATTTTAAAAAAATAGGGTTGAAGTTGTAACAAAAATATTATTTTAAAATAATAGGGTCGAAGTTGTAACTCTATTTTCAGGTTTATCGTGTCTCAGTTTCTAAAAATTTAACCCAACCCTGAATCGAAAATAAATTTAACGTGTTGAATTGGATTAGATAGTCCAAATAGATCGGGTTATCGAGTCATTCTGACATTGGAAAAATGGGAAGGAAAAGGTAAGTATTTATTTTTATTTTTATATTTACTTTTGTTTTTTTATAATAGCGTGTGGGTCCCACTTACTGATAGAAAGTGGGCCCCAAGAATTCGGGAAAGCGACCAAGCGGATCCGTCCGATCGTAACCTTTCGTGGACCAATTAAAAACACCGACTTGCCACGTCGTTTTTTAATTTTAATTTAAAGATAAGGTTTGGGCCCCAAAATTTAAATTAAAAAAAAAAAATCAAAATTTAATGCAATATCTGGATAATCCGCCACGTGGAGGTAACATAGACTAAATTTGAAAATTCATAAAGTAAAATTTTAATTTAAGATAATAAATATATAATATTATAATATTTAAAATATATAATAGGAGTTCAAATATGTGATCGTGGAAGCTTCCCTTTCATCTAGAAAATTTTTGAAAAATTAGTATTACAAATAACAAATAAAATTATTAACTTTAAAGTCAAATTTTTCAAAATTTAAATAACAAATAAAATTATATATATTTATTTATTTATTTATTTAAGTTTGAACGTATTAAATATTTAGTTAAATTACAAATTTACTCAGGCAACTTTGAAATTTGGGTTGGTTTACTCCATAATTTTCAAAATTGCAAACTTAGTCCCTTAGCTTTAATATTTTAAATCTGAGATGGAAAGTTTAAAGTAAGTTCCATCAGACATAAAATCTTTAAAAAAAAATTAAATTCAAATATAATTGAACAAAGATAGAATCAAATATAATTGAGCCTTGCTCTGGTAGAACCTGGTGAACCGGTTAAAATTCAATACTGATGGGGAAGCAAGACTTTCACGATGGCATTTCTGATCTCATTCGTATTCCGATAGAAGAAAGAAGGGTTCAGTCTCATAAAGCAAGACCTCTTTCTGAACCGCTCCGTGGGGACTTTTTTTTAGCATTTGCTTACTTCTTAAAGTCAGGATTTACACTGATCTTTCTCCTTCAAAAGAAAGTGTTTCAAGTCAAGACTCCAACAATCGAAGAATGAGCCAAAGAGCCTGAATCTAACTAGTTGATAGAGTCTGATTCAAAGAGTTTTTTCCACATTTGGGCAGTCGCAACTATAAAGGGCAGGGCGGTAAGCTCTCTATCTATCAACAACAGGAGGGCTGTTCTCCTTTGTCAACGCTATTAAGAACTAGGGCAAGCGGAATTCTGTAGACGGTGGAAGAGCCAGAAGAGGCTCGGTCATTTGACGAAAATAGATAGAACGAACAACAAAACTTCAAAACAGCCTTTTTTTTTTGTACACCTCACGTGCATCACATACACAAGTGCTCTTTAGAACCGTACAATAAGGTCACCCATAACACAGCTCTCCCCCTTAAGCTATCTTAGCCCTAGGCCGCGCTATTCAATAATATATATATATAAAAAGAAGTCAAATCAAGCAAGGAAGAAAAATCCCATCTTTCAACCCACAAGAATCCAAGCCAAATTTCCTTAATAAATACAGAAATGGGTGAGTAGGCCATAATGCAACATTTCAATACTATAAACTAAAGATGCAGCGTATAATTAATGACTGATTTGATTAAATTTGGCTAACTCTGTGTTTTATACTCGCAAAGTCAACAAAGGCATTAAAGTTTTGCCTTCAACAAGCAAATCTACCTAACCCATAAAGGATTATACACACACCTAAGACCATACTTGTTTGATTAATCATACTTTTCAAACTTCCCGTCATATCATTTTTTATAATTATTATTGTGTTGACGGTCAAAGTTTTCAACGGTAATTGCTCAAGCCCACAGCTAGCAGATATTGTCCGTTTTGGCCCGTTACGTATTGCCGTCAGCCTCACAGTTTTAAAACAAATCTTAAAATTGTGAGGCTGACGGCGATACGAAATGGGTAAAAGCGGATAAAATCTATCAGCAGTGGGCTCGGGCTGTTACAAATAGTATATTAGGAGATCTCACATCAGTTGGAGAAAGGAACGAAGCTGTGATGTCCCACATTGGTTGGGGAGAGGAACAAAACTCCATTTATAAGGGTGTGGAAACCTTCTCCTAGCAAATGCGTTTTAAAGCCTTGAGAGGAAGCCCGAAAGGAAAAGCCTAAAGAGGACAATATCTACTAGCGGTGGACTCAAACGGTTACAAATAGTATAGTGTGAGATCCCACACCAGTTGAAGAGGAAAACAAAACATTCTTCACAAGTGTGTGGAGATCTCTCCATTTTAAAATTATGAGGCGAACGACAATACGTAACGGACTAAAGGAAACAATATCTACTAGTAGTGGGCTTGGACCATCAGACAAACCATATTGGGTTGTTCCAATGTGAAGATGGATCAGAGAAGGACAAGAAGAAGAAGACATAAGGATAATGTTGTTTTATAATGTATGATTAGTTGGTTACTTGGTCTGGGTGTTTTTAAATGAAGAAACATGTGTTAGTTTGGTTTTCCAGCTGAAAAAACAGGACAAGTTTTGGATGAGAATCTTTCTGCTTTGTTTCTTTCTGTATTAATATCAAATTCAGTATCTGTTCTACTGGAAAGTCATGTAGTAAAGAACAAATGCCAAGAACATTCATCACATTGCAGCCAGCCAATCAGAAGATATGAACAAACTTTATTCAAATGGCTCTATCAGACAAGAATTTAATAAGATGAATCAGTTTGGGTAGAAATAAGTACCTAATTGTGGCTAGTCAGTCGACTCGATCGATCGTTTGTCGGGAAAGCTTTTATAGACTGGAAGAATCCCAACTGGCATAGACTGCTCCAATGATTTTCTCATGTAAGATTGGCCCCGAGCAAACAACTATTCCCCGGTCGAGACCTTCTAAGTATATTCCCCTTGAGAAATCCAAGGGACGACCTCCTGCGTCTGTTACCACGCCTCCTGCTGCTTCTACAATGATAACACCAGCAGCATGGTCCCATATCTTCTCACGGTATCCTGTCCTTGCAAACTTCATGAAAATCTCGGCATCGCCTCGAGCTATGGCAGCATACTTTACCATGCTATAGACTCGTAACGGCTGCTTCCTGCCACGTAAGTGTAAATATGAAGAGAAGTTGTAACTAAAGCCAGGGGGCCTTCTTATACTAGTAGTGATCATAGTGACAAGCATAAGAATCCATTTTGAAGCAAAGCTCTTCACATGTTGTGCATAAAAAAAATTCATTAACTTCACCTAAAGTTTGGTAAAGTTCTTGTTGTTCTGTACCTAAGCCCGACACTGTGAGCCAGCCCTGCGGTGAACGAGTGGTTCGAGTTCCGCTTCTCCACAGGTTCACAGAAAGTTGCAAGTGCTGGGTCATCAATGGAAGAAACTCGAACAAGGCTAGCCGAGTTTGGCCATTCAAGCTTCTCATCGCCATGGACTAATGGCTGCATCCACGCCCCACCACAACTTCTCCTTGCATATATTACACAACCTTTTTCGAAGGTATCGGAACATGGTTGCGATGATTTCGGTGTCGCTGCCTTATAATGATAATCAAAACATTCCTTCTTCAATGGATAATTAGGACATCCAAGAACTCCAAGAACTACTTCACCATTTACAATCAAGGCCAAAGCAACGGCATATTGATCCCCACGAACAAAACCCAACGTTCCATCAACAGGGTCGAGCACCCAATGTCTTCCTGTCGGGCCACCAGTCGAATTGCACCGGCTTATAGCCTCGAGAATTTCAGAAGTTCCGAGTTCTCTAGGTGGACATTGAAGGCCATATCTTTGAGCTTCAGCTAAGCATTCATTTACAGTTTTTACCACAGCTGACAACAGAGTTCTTGAATCCGGCTTAGAAAGAGTTTGTACGTCCTCCTCAGCGACAATGGATACGTTTTTGCTTCCGAAGTATTCAGAAAGGATCCAGCTAACAGTTGCTTGTACACTCCAATCTGTTCATGAATTGACCAACCATATGAAAAACCGATAAACGGAACGAACGATAAAGGTCAAAAGAATCTGTTCATTAGCAAACATTTTCATTCATCTGTGAGATAAAATCTGCTCTACCACTGCACCTCTTGTAGCCACTCAAACTAATGCTACAGCCAAGCCATTAACAGAATCTTTATAGAGATCGAAAAGTACAGGAGATTTATTTGAATAATCGAAAGAATATGAAAGCCTAAGTTTGTAGACCACAACAATGGTTTTAAATTAAAAGGTCAAAAGAGTGACTGCACCATATTTGTAACAGCTCAAGCTCACAACTAGTAGATATTGTCCGCTTTGGCCCGTTATGTATCTCCGTTAGCCTCACAGTTTTAAAATGCGTTTACTAGGAACATGTTTCCGCACCCATAAGGAATGGTACGTTCCCCTCTCCAACCAATGTGGGATCTACAATCGACCCCCTTGGGGCCTAGTGTCCTCGCTGGCACATCGCTTGGTGTCTGGCTCTAATACCATTTGTAACAGCTCAAGGCCACCGTTAACAAATATTGTCCGCTTTGGCCCTTTACAATATCTATTAGTGGTGGGCTCATTCTGTTTCAAACGGTATCAGAGCCAGACATCGAGTGATGTGTCAGCGATGAAGTTGGCCCCAAGGAGGGTGGATTGTGAGATCCCACATCAGTTAGAGAAGGGAACAAAGCATTCCTCGTAAGGGTGTAGAAACCTCTCCCTACCAGACGCGTTTTAAAACCATAAGGCTAATGGCAATACGCAACGAGCTAAAGCAGACAATATCTACTAGCAGTGGGCTTGGGTTGTTACAATTTTAAACCCATCAAACGAAGAATAATAATAAATGCATAAACTAAGGAAGCATTCAACCAATGGTATGGGAATCAGCCTTTTAAACTATCAATATTCTTGACCAAGTTCATATACCAATTGCTCCCAATTCCTATTCATCATAACTGCATTTAAGATCATCAACAGCCTCACATGTTTCCATTTCTTAACAGTGTTCGATTCGATGCATCGACAAATCCCGTTGGATTTCCCATTTAGAATCATTTAGCAGCATGACTTAGAGACAGAGTTTGTGTGTTATCTTCCTCACAATACATCAATATAGAAGATTATACACAACTTATGAAGAACATCAGTCCAGATAAGAACAGGAAAGAATTGATGAACAAACAATGAAGAGATAACAAAAGAAAAATGGATGTTTAGAGGCAAACTACAGAGTACACTCCAACGAAATTAGAGGTCATAAAGTCATACACATTTGGCCTTTGGACAATGTGAGCAATGGCTGCATTAGTCTCTACTGTGTCTTCTTGATATCAATAAGTATTGAAAGCATTACATATTTTCAATTTCTTGCTCTTCCAAGCAGTAAAACAAACACATAAACAAAGCAAAATACAGTCAAGAGGCACATTCAGGACAAACCCCACCAAGGACAGCAAACATATTCAAAAGAAAATAAAAGGAATACCGGCAATCGTCACCGGAGAATCATCATCCTTGGCCATGACCTGGGCATTATCGGCCGAAACCAAGCCCTCTTGAACTCTCCGGCAAAGGGCACACGCCAAATGAACAACTCGAACCGCCATATCCAATTCCATCGAGAACTCTCCGTCCTCCATTGCAAAACCCAGATGTTAAAACGATGATTCTTGAAAACCCCAACAAAATCAGGAGGTGTTCATCGTTGTTGTAAGGATTGAAAACGTCGAGGGGTTTGGAGTGGGCATCGGCTTGGCGGTTGAATGGCATGTAGGGGTAATGGTAATGGGGCTAATTTGGGTTACTGCAATGGAAACGCTTCAGGTTTTGTGCAGTTTTGGTAGTCATAAAGACCACAGGTGTCACTTTCCCTGCATAGGGAATCGAAAATTTTGCCTCTTTTTCTTCGATTGTTTCTTGTTCATCGAAATCCTTTTTGGGTTCAAACTTGAAAGACAGAAGGTTCCAATTCTGAATTTAATTTGATTCCTTCCACGAATTTTTTTTCCCTCTGTTTCTTTTTTTCTTTTCAAGTCACTAATTCCGAGAATGATAATGGATTTTTAATCAAATAATATCAACCCGTACGAGGCTTTCTGGGAAGCCCAAAATAAAGTCAGGAGAGAGAGCTTAAGCTCAAGGGAGATAATATCATATCATTGGGGAGAGTCATTTATTAGTTTCCGGTTGCTTTTTCCGTTATTTTAAAAAGTTATATTTATAGACCGTATATGTTATATTAATAATTAAAATCTTATAAAATTTAAATATCAAACATTACCGACGTGTGGGTAACAAATGTTAGATATTAATCTTCGTAATAATCTTAAAAAGTAGAATAGGATTGGGTTGGGTTAGGTTGTAACCTTATTTTCAAGTTAATCGAGTTGACCCGATCAAACAAATGTCAACCTACGAACCAACTCAAAATCTAATCCGTCCTAACTTTTATAGTTTGGGTTAGATAATCTGAGTTGGTCGGGTGTATCAACTCAAGTCCACCATTAATAGATATTATCCGTTTTGGCCCGTTATGTATCACTGTCAGTCCTATAGTTTTAAAATGCGTCTACTGAGGAAAGGTTTCCACACCTTTATAGGGAATATTTCGTTCCCCTCTCCAACTGATGCGGGATCTCACAATCCACCCCCTTAGGGGTCCAGCGTCCTCGCTAACACACTGCCTGACGACGAACTCTGATATCAAACGTAACAACCCAAGTCCATCGCTAATATATATTGTTCACTTTGGCCCAGTGCGTATCGCCATCAGTTTCACATTTCAGAACACGTCTACCAGGGAAAAGTTTTCACATCTTTATAACGAATGTTTCGTTCCCTTCTCTAATCAAGGTAAGATCTCACAACGGGTCATTGAATCATAAGAACACCCCTAAATTTTAACAATAAATTAATATTAGTGACAAATTTGTAAGATTTATTAAAAATTTCATTAGTTTGACAGCGGAAAAATGTAATGTTTTAAAATAAATGGATGAAATGAAAATTAAATTGAATAATTATAAATAAATAAATAAAAAAGCCTTTTGTGTTCCTAATATAAATTTATTACTATTTTTAATTTCAATTTTTGTCCAATAAAAAAAAAAATCGATTTTTAGGGTTTGCAAGCGGTCTTGGGCTTAAATGGGCCGAGTATAGATCAATACTGGGCCGATATTTTAGCGTTTGCAAGAATAAATATTTAACCATTTTTCCCAATAAATTAAAAGGAAAATATTCTTTATCTATATTCTAAAATAAATAAATAAATAAATATCGGTAGTGGGCCTCAATAGGCCCATTTGGAATAAGTATCTGGGCTTGGATCGGACAAGTCCACGACCCGGGCCCAGTCTGTCTATCGGTAGCTTAAGAGGATGGAGGGGCGGAAAACGAATCCCAACACGAGAAGCAACGATGTTTCTAAAAGGGTGACGTGTCATGCGGGGTTTATAGTTGTCAAACAAATTGGGATGCGGATGACGTCACCCACGTGACTCTGCATTTCTTTTGGGATCGATGCCAGCTGAGCAGTGCTTGCTGGTGCACCAAATTCCCTTTTTATTCGCAGCACTTTAAAAAAAAAAATAATAATAATAATAATTTTTGGTTATTTTTCTCAACCACACGACTGAAAATTAAATAAAAATAAAAATAAATAATAACTTTTTATTTGCGTTTTTTCTTTTTCCTTCTACTTCTTATTCTTATTTTCCGCCTCAAATATTCGATTCCTCCCTCTAAAAATAAATTATTATTATTTTGTAGGCTAAATTAATACGAATATCTAATTTTATATTTTATTAAAAAAATATCTTTAATTTTTTTAAATGCTTAAATAATATCCGGTAAATTATTAGTATTTTATATAAAAAAATATCTATAAACTTTAAATTTTTTTATTAATATTACGAGTATACTTTTTACCGTCAATATATGAGTATTTTTTGAAATGATGGTATGAATTTTTTTTTTCAATTTTAAAAGTGTTTTTCAAGAGTTTAAAGATATTTTTTAAGTTTCTTTTCTCCACGGTAATTTTTAAACATTTTTAAAACAAAATATTAACGGTTTGTATACAAAAAAAAAACTAAAAGGGAATCCTATATTTTAACTTTTTATATATATATATAAAAAGGGGTTTTAAATATTTTTGAAAATTTAAGTGTAGAAAGCTTTCGAACATTTTTTAGAAAAAGTGTAAAGTTTAAGAATATTTTTATTAATTTAGCGTAAAAGTATTAAAAAGTAGATATAATGAAAATTTTATATATTTATTCATGTTAATATTTCTAGGTTTTGTACTCGAGCATTGACCTGACGTTTTTGCAAGATGTATATGAAATTTGCACTATAAAATTTGTCCGTGATTTATTGACGTATGATAAATAAATAAAAAATATTGGAAAGTAACATTTCAAGTGGTCTATTCTTTAAAGATTATGACTGTGGGTACAGGCAATAGGTGCGATAAGAGCTATGCATTATTCAAATATCTCGTTAGTCTAAAATTTTTAAAGTTTTGACAAATATCAGACGAGCAACTATTTCACGCTCCAACAAAAATAAAATTCCAAATTGGAAAATACATTAAATAAATCATAATTTTTTTAATTTATCAAATACAAAAATTAAAAATTAAATAAATATTAAAATTAATAAACTAAATAAATGCTGAATCAAATTAAATATATATTTAGTGGAATATGAGGCTGAATGTCATTTTCATTAAAAAAAAATAAATGAAAAAAAGCGTCAAAGCCACAAAAGTATAGTTAATCATTTGATAACAACTCTCTTAATCCCATTTCAAAAGTGCCATAAAGTTCACCATAATTAAAAATAAAATAAAATAATATATATATATATATATTTCTTTTAACTCTCATTAAATTAACTTCTTAATTTTTAGACCTAATAATTTAGTCTTAATTACCATAATGATAATATAATATTAATTATCGTACTCCAAAATTACATTGAAAAAATATAATTATTGATGGATGATACATGTCTTAATATATTAACATGTGCTTAAATTAAAAAGATAACCGTCGAAATATTATTTTTTTTGGGTAATTACAGTAAAATTTTGCAGTTTTAATGTACGTTTATTAGGGAGAGATTTTCATAATAAATATTTCGTTATTCTCTCAAACTTTAATATTTAATAAATTTATAAATATATTCAAAATTTTTAAAACAAGAACTTAATTTGGTGTCCAATTAAATACAAAAATTAAAATTAGAAATTTAATATTTATATTATTATAAATTAAATAATTATAAAATTTGAAGTTAAAATAATTGATATTTAAGAAATTGGAATCCGAAGAGGAGAAAATGATTATTGTAATTTAATTAGTGATTATAAATTAATAATGCAAGAAGTCAAAGCGGTGGAGTTGAATTTAACTAATTTCTTTTTAATAAATAAATAATAATTATTATTATTATTTTTTAAAACGACGCGTCTCTCGGCGGAACCCACGGCAGAATGCGGCCACGGACAGCCGTTTCTTATTTTTCCATTAAATAATTATACACCATTATTTTTGTATATATGGATTGGATGAAGTTGATTTTTTTTTTTTAATAAATTAAAAAATTGGATACTCAAAACAACTCGATTAGACAACTCAACACCATATTTGTTCGAGTCATATTATTTTTTTAATAATTATTTAAAAAATTATATTTATCTGTGGAGGCCTTCTTCTCCCTCCACTTAAGCTGAGCTGTAATTGGCTTTGAGAACACTGAAGTTTCATAAGCTCTTTCTATCTAGGTGTAGATAGTCCGCATCTTCACAGACATGTCTATTTTACTAAGCCTCTCTCCGAGACAGTGCCCAGATCGTTACGACTTTCGTGCGAGTCGGAATTTCGCTACCTTAGGACTGTTATAGTTACGGCCGCCGTTCACCGGGGCTTCGGTCACCGGCTCCCCTATCATGATTTTTATAATAAATATTATTATAAAAAAATACTGACTTTTTTTAATATCATTAAAAAACAAAAGAGGAATAATTATATGATTTTAAAAAAATGCATATTTATAAGATTTAAATAATAGGGAGAAAAATATTAAAAAAAAGAGTGATAGCGACGTTGAAAGTACGTGGCCATGTGATTGGATACGCCTATTATAAGAAATAAATCCAATTTTTATTTTATTTTTATTTTTATTTTCGAAGTCAATTCTAATGTAATGTAATGGCCTGTCAGGTTACATCCCATTAATAAATTAATTCTGTTATTATGTAATGATTTTTCTGTCTTTTAATTTTATTTTTTATATTTTTAATAAATCTTAAAAATAGTTTTTATGGTTAATTAAAAATAAATTTGAAGGATTAATTTTAATTTTAATTTTTGTTATTAATAATAAGTAGCTAAATATAGTGTGGCATAATGACAGACAGATACAATAATTTTGACGATATCTACAAAAAAAAAAAAATAATAATAATAATTATAGCACCGTCATACAGCCGTCAAACAGCTAGCAAAGCAGGCGTCCCCGAGGAAAGAATCAAGTTGACGGCGATTTAACACCGTCAATTGACGCCCCATCACCAGCTCTTCCGTATCTTAAAGCCGCGTAAAGCGGGTCCGGCTCGATCGTTTGTCCCTGCACAGCAACCATACCCTTTCAATCCTTAAAAACATTAATATATATATATATATATATATAAAAATTATAAATTTCATTTCCGTAATAATGTAGATGAATATTCGTAGACGATGATAGAGTTTATAAACAAAGGTATACATCTCCATTGTTATAAAACCTTTATTAGAAGGGAATCTCAAAAAGTAGACAATAACATACCATTGTGAAGGAGTTCAGAGGAGTCAAGACTCCATTAAAAGGAGATTATTAATTTTTGAGAGCTTCATAGGCCTCGAATGAGGCTTT